GCTGTGGCCCGTGCAATATATGGGGTTTATGGGCAAGCCTCTGCTTTGCTGATGGAGGCACCATCCAGCCCCCTTCCTCCTGACCCTCCCTGGAACTTGGACATGATCCCTGGATATGCAGCAGGTGTCCAGCAGCCATGAGCTTGAAAAACACAGGCTCCGCCCAGCCCTTTTAGCTGCCTTTGGTTACATGAGAAAAAGAAGCCTCTCTATGCTGAAGCCACTGTTTCTCAGGGTTTCTGTTATGTGTAGCCACACTGCAACTCTTGGCTGGTGCAGAGGACATCTTGAGTGTCATGTGCCATGGCAAAGGGCTACCAGGCAGGGAAGAGGGAGGGAAGAAAGATCAGCTGAAAGAGGAGGAAGACAGCACACATGAGTAGCCAGAGACCCAATGGTGGGCAGCCAGCTCTCTGGTTGGCTGTCCCTGTGGGCAGGATCTGAGTCACCCACACTGGAGGGAGAGCATGGGGATAGTGAGGGTCAGGGCCTGCCAGCCCCCCACCCAAAGGGGTACCTTCCCTTCCTCTCCCCGCTTTCTCCCTCATGTGAGCTCCGAGACCCAGCTGTGGTCTGTGGTGGGCCCACCCTCCCACCGGCATACACACACACCCTTCCCCAGCCACCAACCATCCCCGACTCACCAGTGTCTGTGCCCATGTACAGGGCATCAAATGTGGAAACAGTCATGGCAAAGACAACCCCATTCCCTTCCAGTCATAGTGGAAGAAGACCTGAGGGGCCCATCACCCTGCTGGTGACCCCCAACCCAGCCCTACCCGAAGGTGTATTACTGGACAGTGGTTCCAGGTTTTTAGTCAAGCCGTGAAGAAAAATCTTTCACGGGACCAACGAAAGGAAGTGAAAAAGCCAGACGTAACGGGGCTTTGTAACAAAGCCAAAGTATGGCGCTAGCGTGTGCGGCCAACCCCCACCAGTGAGGGGTGCCCCCAGATTCCTTGGAAGTGAAAAAGCCAGACGTAACGGGGCTTTGTAACAAAGCCAAAGTATGGCGCTAGCGTGCGCGGCCAACCCCCACCAGTGAGGGGTGCCCCCAGATTCCTTAGGGGAGAGTTTATATGTTGTTCTGGGACCGTGTGTTTCTCTGTCCTAACTGAGGGGAGGAATATTCAACCATAGGGGAGGATCTAGGGTAATTAAGGCCTAACAGGCCTATGTGAAGCTGCATCAGCTTCCTGTCATGCATCCCTGAGTGTCTGAAGTTTCTGGTCATGCGCAGTGAAGTCACTTTTCAGTCTAACATCACA